GTGCAATGATAATACCAACATGGGCCAGTGAAGCGACGTCCTCCACAACTAGACTGAAGAACAAAAGGATAGCAACTTGTCTGTTCCTCTTCCCCCATTCCCGAACGCTGTTCCCCTCCCCCAATTCCCCAATAAAATCTTTAAAAAAAAAAGAAAAAAGATTCTTAAATTGAAAGGAGCTTGATGTGTTTCAGAAGAGGCCAGTATGTTAAGGGACTATGGAGAGTGCCTCTAAGAAGAGCTGGATAGGCAAAAACTAGATCATTTTAGATTGTTATGAACTGAATGTATGTACCCCTCCCACCTGCAAATTTATATATTGAAGACCTAATCCCCAATATAGTGGTATCTAGAGGTGGGGCTTTAGGGAGGTAATTAGGGTTATTACAGTAGGACATGAGGGTGGGGCCCTTATGATGGGATTAGTAGCCTTAATAAGAAGAAAAAGAGAGAGTGATCTCTCTCCCCAGGTGCAGGGAGGAAAGGCCATGTGAGGACCTGGCAAGAAGACGGGCATCTGCAAGATAGGAATAGCTCTCACCCAGAACTGAATTGGCTGGCACCTTGATCTTGCACTTCCTAATCTCCAGACTGTGAGAAAAATTTCTGTGTTTAAGCCACCCAGTCTATGGTATTTTGTTACAGCAGCCAAGACAAACTAAGACATAGAGCCTTGAAATTTATGGTAAACTGGATTTTATTTAAAGAACAATGGATGATTATTTAAGGGTTTTAAACAAGAAGGTGACATGATTTGTTTTTAAAAGATTAATTAGCAGTAGTGTTGAGAATAAATTTGCAAGGGAATAGGGGCAAGAGCAGGGAGACCAGCAATGATAACTTTATAATGGTAGTTCAGGAAAAGAAATGGTACTTGGCAATAAAAATAAAGTGTGTTGGAGATAGTTTCCCACATAGCAAAATGCAAAGCAGATTTCTGTAAGAGCCATTTAGAGAAGTTTAAACACCATGGAGGTGGAAAACCTATGACAAATAACAAAAGTTAGTAAGGATGCTGGATGTTAAATTAATATTTAAACATCAAAAGCTTTCTTTTATACAAACTACAAGTTACAGATAAAACAGATGAAAAAGTTTTCATTTATAGGAACAAAACTAAACTAATATAAAATAGCTAGCAATAAATTTAAGAAATGCACAAAATCAGTATGAATAAAACCTTTTAAAAGCCCTATTGAGAGACACAGAGGAAGACTTCTAAAAAGTATAAAAGCAGGGCTGGCGAGGTGGCTAAGTTGGTTAGAGCCCGAGCTCTGAGCAGCAGGGTTGCCAGTTTGATTCCCACATGGGCCAGTGAGCTGTGCATGAGCTAAGCTGCCAACAGGTGGCAGGATGGCTCAGCTGGTGAGAGCGTATGCTCTGAACGAGGTTGCAGGTTTGACTCCTGCATGGGATGGTGGGTTGAGCCCCCCCGTAACTAGATTGAAAGTGGCGACTGGACTTGGAGCTGAGCTTGCGCCCTCCTCAACTAAGATTGAAGGACAACAACTTGACTTGGAGCTGATGGGTCCTGGAAAAACACAATGTTCCCTTCCCCAATTCCCCAATAAAATCTTTTTTAAAAAGTAGAAAAATATTGACTGTTTTGACTAGCTAGCTAGAGCAAAATAACATTGTTTCCTGCCTCATTTATTATCCCAAACAGCCTTATTGTGCCCTCCTTCCTCCGGGACACCAGCCCAGGTGTCTGAGTCCCACGCCCACAGGACCCACTTTCCATGCTCAGAGGCATTAATACAAGCCTAAGCAGCAGCCTCTTCTGAGATCTGAGTGTAAGCTCCATAGGGCCCCTCCTGTGAGTTTATAAATGTTAATAATTGCAACCTCTTTCCTTCATCCCACAACCTTAGAAACAAGCAACTACTGTGGGTAGCTTCTTGCAACAGTTGTTACCTCTGTGAAAACTTTAGTATCCTATTTTACCATTTCAGTTTAATATCTGTAAACAATATTTTATATTAAATTCTTTCTGTAAAAATAACTGATATGGTTTCTGTGATATGGTTTCTGTCTCCTGACTAGGCCTTGATTGATACATATCTCAAATCCCACCTACTACTAAGTTAACATCATTCCAGACATCTAGCTCACTACCTACCTACTGACTTTTTCTTCTGTCTATACAGAGTGAAAGTAATACCCTTATAAATATGAGATACTATTTTAAAATAAAAGCATTAAATTATAACTTTATTAAAATTTAATAAAGAAAAAAGAATTAAGTTAAACTGAAGAATATGCTAAATGTTTCTTCCACAAAAGATAATTTTGCGGGGATAGGACCCTCTAAGGTTAAGAGAAGACATTAAGGAAAACATTAAGTTGAAGAAATTATGGTTATTCTTTTTTTAATTTTAGATAGCATTAATTGACTTCCTGTTTTGAAAGCTGAGGATGATATAGTATCACATCTGATTCTACTTTTTCCCCTTGTCAGCAGGATATTTTTTATCTCTAGATTCAATTTTTGATTTCAGGTTTAAGTTTGTTTTTATCATATCTTTGAATACTTTTCTGCTGTATTTGTTGAGTGCTCTATTTTAGGGGCACTGATTATCATTATGCTAGAGAGATTTTTATCTATTAGTTATCTCTTCTGACTTTACTCTGTCTTTTCATCTGCATTTAATCTGCTTATCTGAAGCTTTCTATTATGTAACTTAATTGTTAACCATCTCTAATCTGTTCCTTATTTCTAATTTACTTTTTTGTTCTACATTTTACTTGTTTCCTTAAGGTCTGCAATTTACCTTTCATCTCATTTTGTGTATCATAATTTTGTCTTTGAGCTCTGGTTTTATTAACTTTTACCACTTTAAGTGGTATTTCCTTTTTGTCTTTAAGTTATGGGTTCTTCATCTTTTGCAGGCTGTTTCTTTTTTCTTCTTTGCTTTTGTTAGTTCATTAGTTTGGGATAGTATGTTTGCATAGTTCGCGTGCTTTTATTTTATCTTGCAACTTTGCTCAGACCTCTTATTTGCTCTGATTTAACATGGATGACTTCTGACTCCCTTTTACTCACATCTAAGCCTGCTTGCTTGGCTTAGGTGGTATGCTGCATCTATTGAGATAATGTGATTCTTTTCCTTTAAAGTATTTTCATGTTTAACACAGCCTGACATTCCTGAAATAAATCCAACTTACTCCTTTTTATATGACTGGATATGCTAATATTCTCTTCTGGATGCTTGCCTATATTAGTAAGATTAACCCATTGTGTTTCTTTGGAACATCTAGGCTCTTAATTCTGAGGTTTTGTTAAATGCACATCTACCTAGTTGGGGGCTGCAGTAATCCATTCACATGGGGATTCCCTGTGTCCCCTGATTCAGCATGTATCCCTGGAGACTTACTTCT